TGCAGATATGGGGATTACAAATTGGCGTGGTTGCCATCCCTACCCTCTATAAAGTGATCAGCTGATAAGTGTTAAACCAGCTTTTTCGTCCATGAAAATAGTGCAAAACTATACAGATAATATGCTTAGAAGTGATTCTGACTCTACTTATATCTTTTATTAAATTCTTTTTGGTTTCTGTACCCCCTCTCCTCCTGTATACCCCAGTAAAGCCCAGTACTTTGCAGTACATTGTAGCACCCTGTACCCTGAAAAGCACTATGTATACCCTGTCGCAATCACTTTCCATAAAAATATTTGGGAATTATAAATTGGTGTTTTTGCCATCCCTCCCTCCAATGACTCGCAGCTGTTTAGTTTTAAACCATCAACAGAATCTCTTTTTTACTGTTTTACACAAATGAAAATAATGCAAAACTAGAGTAAAGTGCAACCCAGAAAAGCTTCTATATAAGTTCTAAATATTTTTGTTTAAAATTAAAATTCTGTTTGGTCTGGTAACTTTTTTCTGCAGAATCTTTCCTGGTTTCTGTATGGTTTCACATCGGTATGTTTTAGGATATCTACTCGATATAAAGCAATAATTATCAATAATTATTTTGACTTAAACTCTTAACAAAGTCAATTTAGAAAAAAAACATGTCGGTTAAAGAAAGTTTTCTATAAATATATTCAATCACTCAGAACAAAAAGTTTTATCAAAATAAAACTTTTTTAGGGACGTTTTCAAAAAAATGCAAAAAAATATTTCTGACACCCCTTGGCTTAGTACGCAAATATAATTCACTAAAACCATGATTGATAATTATGGTCAGGGTTAACTAATATAGATTTTAAGCGAAATTTTCATCTTTCTAAATATCCCAGGGAAAGATTTTACAGGTTTTTTCTTAAACATAAGCAATTTCGGAAATTATTAGAATTAAACACTTTTTGAAATTTAAAGGGTTCTGTATAGTAAATCAAGTGGTTTCCCATTTTTATTGGAAGGCTACTTGAAAATGCAACTACAGTCCCTTTAACTGTAAATCCAGGAAAGATAAACCCAAACTTTTGTTCCAAAGTTTTTTTTTCTGTATTTGACCCTGGGAGTAAACACAAGGGGATATAAACAAACAAATGTCATAAACAAACTTGGCTAAACAAGAGACAAACAATGTTTCCTGTTTCAGGAATCCTCTATCAATGTTTGTTTGACAAACTGTGTGTTTGATAAAAAAATAGAACTAAATACCCCTAAAATCAATGTACAGAGTGGCTCACAAAACCTGACAGTTGGTATTCGACTTTAAGGTCGTCTATGATATGCTAAATGAAAACTCTAACGTCATAATCTCTATATTATTGCAAAACGATTGTGTTCACCTTTTATATTTAAACTTTGACTTTCTCAAATCTGATCTAGCTCATTTTTGAATCATCAGGTTGCACAGATATAAGGCTCGTAAAATTTCTTTAGTTTATTAGCTAATGGAAATTTTCATTAAAACCCCTTTAATATTTGGACCTAAGTGATTTGTTGTCGCTCTTAATTTGTTAGCAATCCAACTTTTGTTGCCGAATAAGAGATTTTTCAAAATTTTGTAATTAATCGTGTAAGCGTAATTTAAGTAACAATCCATGCAAAGATGAAAATTCCCGATAAAAGCTTTGTCTAATCAACACTGCAAAACAAGACGTGCAATGATTCAGTATTTTTCCAACTACTCTTTTTACCCTTGCATTTTATATGCCAAGGGCTACAAAAAAAAAATAATCGAGGTGGTAAGGTAAAACCAAACCCAAGGCGTTGCGACACTTTAAAGTCAAGGCTGTCAAAAACTTGAATGACTAACTTTCAGAGTTGTCAATATATCAGTGTCAAGTATCAATTAGATATCCATTTTTATGATATTGCTGCAGAAAAACTTATAGGAATTATCAAAATAAACCCGTGTAAACCTAGAAAGACGACAATATCTTCCACATTATTAATCAGGTAAAGGTTTTAAAGATTCCGTTGTGAACCGGGATTGTGATCTTCAGGGTCACTTGAAGTCCCTTTAGCATAAAAGGTATTAAAGCTAAAAAACCTATAAACTACCATATTTGTATTCAGCGTGCAAACAAAGGAATTGTTTTCTAATCCCTATATCTTTGCATAAGATGTCGTGGACCTTAGATATTTCAAACTATAAATTCTGTTAGATCAAATAATCTAAGTTTGAAATATCAAAAAATTACATTATCAGGTTGCAAAGATATATAGATTATATAATTTGACTTCGTGGCAAAGACTCAGTTCCTTTGAGATGTAAAGGAAGCAAGTTTAATTTAAAACAATCTACAAATACTATTCAACCATGTTATTTTAGTATTCTCTTTTATTACCGGGATAAATTTTATACTGTGCTTTTATTATCCGACAAATTGTTAAAATATGCTTATAATGCCCCCGGGGGAACTATCGAGAAATAATAAGAAAACAATATTTTCATGTCGGACAAATATTTACTGAGTTTGCATTAAGGACTTATATATATGTGGCAAGGTATTGAAATAGTGTTGAAAGGGTGTGTGGTGAAACCTAGTAAAACTGTGAACGGTTTAAAGTGACTGTCTACATATTTTCGATTCAGTGTCCACTTTAAAAGTCAAATTTCCTTATTACAAAATACACTTTAAGTCAAAGCCTCCTAAGCAAACATCGTGGATAAACAGAGTGTCTCAAAAAACATAGGAATCAAGTGACACATTAGAGTTTTTGTCAAGAAGTATAGCAGTGTATAAATACCTAATTTCAAGACATAATTATGTCTATAAACAAATTCTAAACTTTAAAAGACAAAAATTCTACGAATCACTGTTTTCTACACTAGACTCTGAATAATTAACTCGACAGTCGTCAATCCCTAGCTGTACTAACTCTCCTGTCTCCTGCCCACTGACTACGCATATTCAAAAATTAGATTAGTTTCCTGAACTTAAAATGTATAGATGTTGATAGAAACTAACTACTTTAGTAAACAATGAAAATAAAAAAATTAAATATGTAAAAAAATAAAACTATGATCAAAACAATGAGAATTATTTTTAAATTTACAGATCTGAGTTTATTTTGTTAAACTTTGATTCAGATTTTGTAAACCAACCAAAATTCTTGATTCATCTTTTACAAACCAACTATAAACATTATACTTTTATTACCCGACTAAATTTTTATATTCATCCGGGTACTTTTCTCGGCATTTATGGCACCAGCCATACATTACATCCTTAGGGTCTCCTTTCTAGAAAATTTAAAAACATTTTTTCGTAAAATTCAAATAAACTTTATCATTATATTTTTGTCAATTTACACAAAAAAAACCGGCGGAATAAATGTTTTCTTTGTTTTTCCTTATGCTTAAGAAATGGCTTAGGATTTTTAATTTGCAATTATTGTTCAGGGCATTTTTTAAGAACCAGTTCAGTTGCAAATTACAAAACCCCGCGACATTCTATGATTAGAAGAAAAAAGAAAACGACGAAATTTCCTAAATTCTTTGCTTTGCTTTCCCCTTTAGGTTTGAAAAAATACACTTTTAAAATTATTTGTTGAGAAACAAATAAAGAAATATTGGACAAAACAAAAACCGAAAGAATTTAGAAAATGTTGCTCGATATTCCAAATAAAATGTTAGGTATGCACAAAAATTGTGAGATATCCCAAACATTCGTTTCTAAGATTTTTGTAATTTCCAAAAGCTTTCGGCCATTTGATATTGCAAAAAAATTGTTAGGGTTTTTACTTTTTTCCAACGGTGTATAACATATTTAATTATATTAAACATTAACTCAAACAAATATCACAGACCTTATTCAAAAGCAAAAAATAGGTCTGAAATATTTTAACATATTTTCTAAAACCTAAAAACTATATTGCTATATTTCTATTTCAGCCTGCACAGATGTTAAGATTCGCTTTTTTTATAAACTATAAAAAATTTGATCTATCAAAGTCAACAGCTTTAAGATGAGGTCATTTTAATTTTATTTTCATTTCAAAGCCAAAAAATTTTATGTAATCATAGATTACAATTTTGGTGATGAATGCATGATAAAAAAATCGTAAACCGTTGAAAACTTTAAAAATGATAACTTTTTTGGGCTTGATGAAAATTCACCAAATGGTTTTGATCTCATACCATTCTTAATATATATTTCCTTGAAGGGTTTGTTTATTGAATACATCCCCAACTTGAGGAATTAGGAACACAATTAAGATAATCCTAACTATAAAAAAGTCCTGCCTGAAAACCCGGATACATTAAAGTGTATTTTCAAATATGTGAACAATCATCTTAAAGGGGTTTGCACATTAAAACATATAGGCCAATGAAAAGGAATAGTTGCAGCTAAGACCATGTAACACTAAACATGTTACTTTTATATTGAAAATTTATTGAATTCACCAATCTCTCTAAGTATTGCCGAATCATCCACAAATTGTGCAAGCTTGGTTTTTGCTCTCAAAGTGTTACTTTAGTGCAAATTTTTTAAATAAAATTACTTCCGGCCCTCAAGTTCTCAAAATATATTTTCAATATTTGGATTATGGAGGCACTCTTTAGGAAATCTCATTTACCCATTTGAAAACTGAAAAACACCAAAAAGATGCTGTGTTTCCCCCAGGAACTCAACATATCAAACCATGTTTCTCCCAGGAACTCAACATATCAAACAATGTTTCCCCCAGGAACTCAACATATCAAACAATGTTTCCCCCAGGAACTCAACATATCAAACCATGTTTCCCCCAGGAACTCAACATATCAAACAAAGTTTCCCCCAGGAACTCAACATACAAACAATGTTTGCCCTCTTCCATATAGTCCTTCTATGGAGGGGGTGAATTTAAGCTTTGCGCAATCGACCCCACTTAGATAAACCATGTGTAGAGTAGACCCTCTCGTACCACTGCGAACGTGTTTTTAACTTTTTAAAAACTTTTCTCAGTTTTTGTTTGCCATCTTTAACAAAGTTCAGACTTACATGGTCTCTCAAAAGGAGGGTATTTTTTTTAAATCCCACATATATTTGTTGTACAAGATTACCAAAAAAAGAATAAGACTTTTGAAGCTCAATGAAGACTTTCCAGCATTAACTGGAGATCGGCAGATTTTGAACTTTTACTTTGAAAATGATATATATTGCAGGAATCTAAAGTTAAAACTTTGTGTGAAACGGCGCAAATCTCTATATCCACTCTGACAACTTTAAAATTATTAAAGATAAGATGCGGTCACTACGGAATATCCAAGAAGAATTAAATAAATCGAATCACAAGATGAAGGAGATCAAGGAGATCAATGCTAATTCACAATACAAAAGATGAAAATAATACCTACAGTTTGTATGTAGATTTGAGTTTTGGGTAATTTGTATAGTCTAAACCTTTGTGGGTAACCTTGTACTAAATATTTTTAAAAAACATAAGTATTAATAATATAGTGTTGAGTAAAAATACCCTTCTTTGGATTTCGAGGTTTGGAAACGTCAAACTGGAGATCTAAGAGGATAGGTAATAAGGGTTTTTATTGATATTTTCTGTGACGCTAAGAATTAGTTTTATCAAAACAATAACAAAGATTGTAAACAAGAAGGCCATTGTTTAGCAGTTCTAATACGTTACAGTTAAATATAAATAGACCCTATCTCCTAACCAGAGTTTGCTTATTGTGAAACATTATGGGCACATTTAACCGTAATATACACTGTGAACTGCAGTCTTATGTAAAATTTTAAACGATTTAAACAAATCTTATTAAAATCTTACTTTTCAAAGCTTGCATTTTTCCTTTTTTCTATAATAATTCTGTTCAAGTATCTTAGAAGCTGAATAACAAAAATGTGATTTGGATTATTAAAATATTTAGATTTAGCTTTCTAAAATATTTGGTTTTCTAATCTTATGCAAAAATCTATTATCTTTGTATCTCTAAACATTTTACAGACATCTAGTACATTTTGCATGCAAGAGATTTATACCGTACACCTTTCAACCTCAAGCCTTAAACACATTCGATACATTAATCAACCAATCAATATATTCATTCGGATTATTTAAATAAATTGAAATGGTTAAAAAGTATAAAAAGTGTTTTTCGATCTTCTAAAGCCAGAGATATAAGTTTTTCGTAGTTTTTTAATAATCTATTCCCCTTGTGTTAAGTTCCTATTTCCACTGTATTTCCCCTTGTATAATCCCCCCTCTATCCCTCCTGTGTCATCTTGTAACCCCTTCTATACCATCCCTTCTCTTATGTTCTATTCCACTGTATTTCCCCAATGTGATCCTATGTAACCTCCCTGTGATCTCTTGTAAACCTTATGTATCTCCCCTGTATCTCCACTGTACCACTTTGTATCCATCATTATCCCATCCCTCTGTATCTCTTTGTATCCCCCTGTATACCTCTGTTTCCCTCTCGAATCCCCCTGGATCGCCCTGTATCCCCGGCCCGCTATCCCCTTGTATCTTCCTGTACATCCTATGTATCCCCCTGTACCCTCATGTATCCCCCTGTATTCCCCTATATTCCACTCAAATCTCCTGAATCCCCTGTATTCCACTGCATTCCTCTGAATCTCTCTGTATTCCCCTGTATTCCCTTGTATCACTCCTGTATGCCGAGTCCATGAGTGCCCGATCCAATCAGGGTTCAGTGATGGAAATATTTACTTCTACTGAAACTATAGTGATATTCCCCTGTATTCCCCTGTATTCCCCTGTATTCCCCTGTATTCCCCTGTATTCCCCTGTATTCCCCTGTATTCCCTTGTATTCTCCTGTATTCCTCTGTATTCCCCTGTATTCCCCTGTATTCCCCTGTATTCCGCTGTATTCTCCTGTATTCCCCTGTATTCCCCTGTATTCCCCTGTATTCCCCTGTATTCCCCTGTATTCCCCTGTNACCCTTTGTGTATCCCTTAATCCCCCTTTATCCTACCTTATCTTCCTCTGTACACTCACAAAGTGCAACAATTTTCATGCAGTACAGGCACTTTCCACACCCCTAGATAGTTTTCATTGATTATTTATTATTTTATTATTTAACATTTATCATTTATCATTTATCATTCATTATTGATTATATTAATTTAGCATTTACCAGTTATTTTATACATGTTTCTGCATTTATTATTCATCATTTATTTTATATTATTTATTTCTCATCATTAACCAATTATAACATTTTTGTATTTATCATTTTTCATTTAATATTTATTATTAACTACATATTTATTCTTTATTATTATTTGTTTTCATCTTTATCATTTCTTGTTCATTTTTATTCTTTATATGGAGTATTATCGGACGAAAAACAGCAACAAAAAACTTTAAAAGTATGAATCTTGAAACTGTAGAGAATCTTGAGAATGGAATTCGAAGGAAGAGTAGAATCGAATATATTTAGTATTCTTGTGGCTTCTCTCTGCAATAGAGAGAATAAAAGATTTATAGAGTCGTCATTTCATCAGAAATTAAAATGAAAAGAGGCCTCTAGAATTGTTAAAAATTGCATCAAATAGACTATACATTTTGTTTCTACCGTCGTAAAATTAAAATAAATAATTTACTACGAGAGTCAGCATTGCATTATTTAAATGTCGACTCTGTTATCATTTATGCCCTTTGGTTTTTAGTTCAGTTTCTGTATTTAGAACTCCTAGACAACTCATTTTAAAATCTAACACAACTTTTATACTAAAATCCTCTGGTTCTCTAGTTCTTAAATCATCTATTTCTCTAGTTTTTAAATCATTTGCTTCTCTTGTTTTGAAAATATCTGGTTCTTTAGTTTTGAAATTATCTAGTTCTTTATTTCTTAAATTGTTCAGTTCTCTAATTTTTGATATATATGATTCTTTAGTTCTTGAATGATTTAATGATCTAGATTTTAATTTATCTAGTTCGCTAGTTCTCTAGTTCTCTTGCTCTCTAGTTCTCTAGCTATCTAGTTCTCTAGTTCTCTAGTTTTCTAGTTATCTAGTTATCTAGTTCTCTAGTTTTTTAGTTTTTTAGTTTTCTTGTTCTCTAGTTCTCTAGTTCTCTAGTTCTCTAGTTCTCTTTTTCTCTAATTCTCTATTTCTCCAATTCTCTAGTTCTCTAGTTCTCTAGTTCTCTAGTTCTCTAGTTTTCTTGTTCTCAGTTCTCTAGGTATCTAGTTATCTTGTTCTCTAGTTCTCTTGTTCTCTTGTTCTCTAGTTCCCTTTTTCTCTATTTCTCTAGTTATCTAGTTCTCTAGTTCTCTTCTTCTCTAGTTCTCTACTTCTCTAGTTCTCTAGTTTCCTAGTTCTTTAGTTATCTAGTTCTCTAGTTCTCTAGTTCTCTAATTATCAAGTTATCTAATTCTCTAGTTTTCTAGTTATCTAGTTCTCTAGTTCTCTCGTTTCTAGTTCTCTAGTTCTCTTGTTCTCTAGTTCTCTAGTTCTCTAGTTCTCTAGTTCCCTAGTTATCTTGTTCTCTAGCTCTCTTGTTCTCTAGTTCTCTAGTTCTCTAGTTCTCTAGTTCTTTGGTTCTCTTGTTCTCTAGTTCTCTGGTTCTCTAGATCTCTAGTTCTCTAGTTCCCTTGTTCTCTATTTCTCTAGTTATCTAGTTTTCTAGTTCTCTTGTTCTTAAGTTCTATAGTTCTAATATTAAAAAGTTATGTTCTTACCTTTCTAACACATTTAACAGGTTTGGGAGGTGGTGCAGGCATTTTAATTATTTATTCTTCTGTTTCTGAAAATATTTTGGCTTATTAATAATATATTTACAAGGCAGTACTGCCTTAGACATCAACAATAAACAATAAAATACACTAATATTGAGAAACAAATGTATACAGATATGTATACAGATACAGATACAGATACAGATACAGATACAGATACAGATACAGATACAGATNGTAGCCTAGATATATAAACTGTATGTATCTTCGATACATAACTTGTATATAGCCTAGATGTAAACTTTATAGATTTTTAAACTGTAATATTTAGCCTAGATAATAGATACATAAATTGTTGTAGCCTATGATGTATAAATTGTATATAGCCTAGATGTATAAACTGTATATAGCTTAGATATATAAACTGTATGTAGCCTAGATATATAAACTGTATATAGCCTAGATATATATACTATATATAGCCTAGATATATAAACTGTATATAGTCTAGATATATAAACTGTATATAGCCTAGATATATAAACTGTATATAGCCTAGATATATAAATACTATATATAGCCTAGATATATAAACTGTATATAGCCTAGATATATAAACTGTATATAGCCTAGATATATAAACTGTATATAGCCTAGATATATAAATTAATGGCTCAGCTACATTTTGCCTGGTCACATTTCGCCTAGTAACATTTTGCCTAGGTAACAGTTCGTCTAGGTAACATTTTGCCAAGATAACGCTTGCCTAGGATAACAAAAGAGCGAATTTTTGCATAATTAATAATTTTTCTCAAAGAAAATTTAAAAAAGTAATGGCACTTTTGTTACCTAGGCAAAATGTTACCCTGTGCAACATGTTGCTAGGCAAAATTGAACTAGGCAAATAGTTACCAAGGCAAGATGTTACCTAGGCAAAGCTGAACTAGGCAAAATGTGACTAGGCAAAATGTAGCTGAGCCTCTGTAACCTAGATGTATAAACTGTATGTATCCTGTGGCCGAATTTAAAGAATTTGAGCGGCGGTTTAAATTTAAGCCGCGGTTTAAATATGGTTGGTTCCACTTAAAATTGTATCAAATGTTTCAAGACGGCGCTAAATTTAAACCGGGTTTTGGCGGATTTAAACCGCGGCTTAAATTCTTTAAATTCCATCTTTGGATATATAAGTTGTATTAATCCCAGATATATAAAAGCTGTATGTAGCCTAGCATGTAGCACTGGACGCAACATTTTACTTACCCTAAATGATAATAAGGCCAAAAAATCAAAAAAAAAAAAGTAGAAAGCATGACAGAATTTTACAAAATCGCCATTTAATTTTTTGTATAGAGAAGACACTTCGAAAAATGCTTCAACTTTCATACCAACCACAGATAAAATAGTTGTCCGTGATACCAACACATAAAGTGATGTAGCTAATCATTTGAATGCTGATTGTAAAACTCATATCATATTATATCATATCATTATATGATATGATTGCTTTACATTGACAATTAGAAAAAATGTAATCGTTTTCAAGAAACTAAATATTTCATCTAGGAATTCTAAGAAATGAGAAATGTTTACAAAGAGTATTTTTCACAAAAATTAAAAATGGCCGTAGGAAATGGGGTTTTTATTATTTTGATTTAGTTACATTTATATAAATATAAAGAATTTTGCCCAGGAATTTTGTTAAATTTACTCAAGTTCCTCGGAAAAGTTTACCGTGTTATATTATATATATATCAAAATTAGGGTTTCCACAAAACAGTGGATTCTCTTGCGCATCAGTTTCGTGGTTTTGCACGAAATGACTCTTTTTGAACGAAATTCCGCATCATTATCGTATCAATACGAAACCAGTTTTGCACGAAATTTCGCATTTATTTAAGATATATGATTTTTTTGCACGAAAATACGAAATTGAAGTCAGAATTTTTTATGATATTCCTCATGAATACAGGTGATTTTTGCATGTAGTTGTGCAATGCCCATGAATACGAAAAAAAAATCGAAAAATTTTCGCATGATTTTCGTGCAAAAAAAGTCCACTGGAAACCTTAGACAAAATAGCATATTAATTATAAGATGCAATTAAAATGGGTAAAAACATATGTATATATATAAGAAAATAAGTATTCAAAACACGATTTGAAGTTTTATTGTATCTTATGTGTGTGTATATATATATATATATATTATTTTCTTATATATAATCGAAAATAAGTATTCAAAACATGATTTGAAGTTTTATTGTATCTTAAAAAAAATCATTACTTAAAGATAAGATAATTTGTAAAAGAAAAGATAATTTTAAAAGTCAAGAAAGGATGATTTCTAAATAAAATATAATCATTTAAAGAAAAAATAATTTCCGAAAGAAAATTTAATCTCGGAAAGAAAATTTAATTTCTTACAGAAAACATAACCTTTAAAAAAAGATAATCTCTAAAAGGAAAGATAATCTCTTGAAGGGTAGATAATCTATAAATGAAAAGATAATATCTAAAAGGAAAGATAATCTCCAAAAGTAAAGATTTTCTCTTAGAGAGAAGATCATCTCTAAAAGAAAAGATAATATATTAAAGAGAAGATAGTCTCTGAAAGAAAAGAAAATGTTAGAAATAAAAAGATAATCTCTGAAAGAAAAGATAATCTCTGAAAATAAAGACAATGTCGGAAATGAAAAGATAGTCTGACAGGAGAATCTAATCTGTTTGAAGATTAGAGCTTGCAGCAGGAAGATTGTGGTGTCTTAAACTCTTTCAATTTCAATTTTCCTTTAGTTTTGAGTTTAAAAGAGTGGAAGGGGGAGGGGGAAAGAAAAGGTAAAAGGGGGAAAGAATGTTGGGTAATAGGAAGAAGGGGTTGGCATAAATGCATAGTTTTGAGAGAGTCAAGGGTGAAGGGGGGGGCTGGTTAGAAAGTTGAGAAATGGGGTGAAAAATCTAAAGGAGATTGAAAATAAGAAATTTTAAGAAAAAAAATGAGAAGGAAACGAAGGAGAATGGTGAGGAAAGTAAGGGAGGAAAGTCAGAAAAAGGTGGGGAATGAAGTGGGGATGGGGGGGGGGGAGGAGATGGAGGAGAGGGATGGAAAGAAAGAGGGGGGAAGTAAAGGGGGGAGGAATGGGAAGGGAACTTCTTTTCTGTTTCCAAATTGTATGAATACCTATTCTTTTTTGCTGCTTCAAGTTACATTTACAATTGTATGTCCATTGGCGCAATTTCTAACCAACTGGAACAAAACTGTCATTGGACAACGATCGAATCCATTTACTCCATTGCATCCAACTTTGCATCTATAAAATTCATAAAATATATCCAATCAAAAACCAAATATATCCAATCTATTAAATAGATCATATCCATCACATCAAGTTTATCCATATTATCCAATTTATCCAAATTAAAAAAAAAATTTATTTTAAAAAATTTTATAAATAAAAGTTCTTTTTAAAAGAGTTTCGCATCAAATATTTTTAAGGTCATGTATGTATGGAGGCATGTAAAGTTATAACAAGAGTTGTTCTCCATTATAAGGTTGGCAAAGTGAGGAAGTTTATAAGGTGTTATAATGACAGCCGATTTTTAGTGATGCTGAAAAATCCTAATTAACTCCCAGGCTCGAGGGTTAATGAACAAAAATCATTTACAAAAGCTGAAAAATCCAATCTTATGAAACCAACTTAGGGATCTCGGTAAATCATGTTTTATTTTGAATCTCAGAGAAAATGTATCTTCTGACTATTTCATTCTCCCCTCTGGCCCCTCCCCCTATGCATAAAGACAAAAACTGAAATATATTTGACATGGACATACAAATGTTCCATTTAAACCAATATTTGTCAAAAATACACTAAATTCTAATAAAAATTTTGATGATATTATTAGCAAAAAAATCAAAAATTTTTTTTAAGATGGTTCAAATCCTGATAAAAAGCCACCGCTTTCTAATATATTGACAGAACAGATAAATCCACGTGACTTAATCTCTGTCTGAGCTGAAAACTGAATGGTGGGCATCGAGATCAATGTTTACAATTACATATATCCTTAGGTAATTTAAAACCCTAGTTCATTTATTTCTTTGCAACTCGTAAATATACATTATTTAGTTCCTTGACCCTAGTTGCGGTCAACCTATTTACCTGTACCTTTTCATATCTAAATATAGACAGTTCAACACAGACTCTTGTTATTTATGGATTGTATAAACCTGGCAGGGAGGATAGACTTTGTGATAGATTGAACCAGCGTATTTAAGCTGATAAAGTATAAATTGGAGTTAGGCATTTTTCTACACTAAGATTAAATTAGTCTTTAAATTAATTAGAGATGCGCTCTTGAACTTTGGAAAAACCGGTTTTTAATTTTTCCGCATTTGTGGTGTCATATCAATTGGACTAATGATTGAATGTACGAACGTAAGTTATGGATTAATGTTTATTAAGACTAACGTTCAAAAGAACTATAGTCCTCAAATGTGATAAAATATGTTTTTAATAAGTTCATATTAACATGATTAAACTTATATTTGTTTAAATGCTCTAAAAGCCGGCTTATGAACAGCTGACTTCAGGTCAATCGGATATTAGTCCAATCGATATAGCATCGTATCTGTATTTCTATTTTCTAATCAAATGTTTCTTTATTACATATAGTAGTAAATGTGATATCCAACAAGAGCGGATTAAAAAGAAAATTAAAAGTGTTCACAGTGGATATTCAGATTAAGCGATTAGGATCAAGGATATCCAATTCTAAAATGTTCAGCTCTGAGTCTGGACGTATTAGCAAAGTTTAGTTTTATATGGGTTAACAAGATATGTATCTTAAAAATACATGATTAGGAGGCTTGTAGAAAGAAATACGAACATTCCAATAAATGGCTAATGCTGCAGATTTGTAAAGGATTACATTAGACTTTTCCTAATGATCCCAAATACATATTTATAATATATCTTCATTCTTCGTCTGAAAAAGAAGTTTTGCAGCTGGATTCTCCACTTTGATCAAGTGAGTTTTGGAGAAAACTTTGATTAGGAAGAGTACATTTAGGACA